TCCAGCTGACTCTAAAGTGAAGAAACCAGAAATCAGCTTCTTATTTCCAACTGTTAATCTTACAATGTATCCCAACCAAGCCTTTTCTTCGGGGTCCTATGCAGAGATGTTGTCCGGGAGTTCTCTGTTACCTCATAACTATAGCGAATCTGTAGGAGGACAAAATGAGGTGAAGTTTTTCACAGCAATGGGTGACACAGTGACTATGCAGTCTATTGATGGGCATTCCAATACTGCAACTGGTGATCCAGCGTGCAACTCTTTTGCTGGAGATTCCCATGTTGTTGCAAGGACACAAATGGGAATTGTAGATAATGAGCAAAATATACAGTGTCAGGGCTTATCTCTTAGTCTCGGGACCCTCATGCCTTCTACTGCATCTGTCCCTTCGTTTCAATACCAGTATCCCGACCCTGGTCTTATATCGATAATGAGAAGTGCTGAATGCATGGCATCTGCGTCTTCTGGAGGCTTTCATGACATTATCAAAAAGGAGGGTTTTTACAACCCGCACCCCTCAATCAGTCTTAAAGAAATCCACTCTGATCCATGCCTGCAAGGATCAACAGGTTTTTCAAATAGTGTCCTTAACTCCCAATACCTTAAGGCGGTACAGGAGTTACTTGATGAAATAGTTAATGTCCGAAAGGCTTTTAAGCAACATGGCATGGAAAAACAAGATAACTTGCGTGACATTGGATTAGATGGCTCCAAAGATTCTGATGGAAAATCTACCAGTCAATCTATGCAAATATCTTCAGGCCCTAATGGTTCTACTGGCAATCCTTCTTGTGAACTATCAGCTGGAGAACGGCAGAATTTGTTGGACAAGAAGACAAAGCTTTTGTCCATGTTGGATGAGGTAAACTTAACACAGTTTGTTTTTATTCCATTGACATAATTGGTTTAGCCTGTTTGCAATTACCTTGTAGAAAATGCTTTTGTTTCAATGTTTGATTTTTTGTTCTTTCATGTATCAGTTGAATAACATATGAAAGATGAGGTAGGATATTCATAATAGCAATTTTTTCTACTATCACTCTAATTACTATTAGATTCAGAAGTTGTTTTTTTTCTCTCTCTTCATTCAATTTTTTTTCTAATCCAATGGTAATTAGAGTGATAATTCAGTAGTAATAGAAAAAATTGATACCTCACGAAAGATTATATAAAACAAATTTTCAGATACTACAAGTTATTTTCTTATCTGTTACTCCTCTCCATGAGAGTTTATGTGTGTGTTTTTGTTTTTCTTTTAAAACCTCTCTGCTTTTACACTATTTGAAAGAGCTCTGGTGTACCTGCGATACTGTCACGGTTTGCAGAGATTCCAATTGCCTTAATCAGTAACAGTGCAGTGAATTGATTTCGAAAGGTTAGCTGTCACATCAGATTGAGAAAGTACACCACCAATAAAGCCACTTATTATATGGTTAATATTCACAAATAGTTTATAATTTCTCATGTAATATCAAATAATTTGAAAGAGGATTAATTATGAATTTATGAGGATACAATACTACTCTACAATTATATCAATGTCTATATATAAGTTGCTCTAGTTTTTTGAACGGTATGCTTAAATATTGAAAACGCAGGTAGTTATGATAATGATAGTGTTGGCCAATGACTGACTCCGTAATCCTTTCTTTGTGCTGGTGGTAGGTTGATAAAAGATACAGACAGTATTGCCATCAGATGCAGATTGTGGTGTCATCTTTCGATATGGTTGCTGGGTGTGGAGCAGCAGAACCATATACTACACTTGCTTTGCGAACAATTTCTCGCCACTTTCGCTGTTTGCGTGATGCTATCAGTGGCCAAATTCAAGTGGCACAAAGGGGACTTGGGGAACAAGAGGGAATACCCCGTCTTCGCTATGTGGATCAGCAGCTTAGACAGCAAAAGGCCCTTCAACAACTTGGTGTAATGCGACAAGCTTGGAGGCCTCAGAGGGGACTTCCTGAAAGCTCTGTTTCAATACTCCGTGCTTGGCTCTTTGAGCATTTTCTTCATCCGTACGTGATGTCACGCTGTACTTATTTATTTTTTTCCTTTCCAATTAATGGTATTATACTAAATTCTGCTTATGTTCTTTTAATAAAATTCATTTTCAACTTTCATTTGATTATTGACACCAGTTACCCCAAGGATTCAGAGAAAATTATGCTAGCGAGACAAACAGGCTTGACCAGGAACCAGGTACAATAATTAATTTTTCTGTACTTACCAGTTACCACATTGTTTTCATTGAAATTCCGTTTCTGATTGGGATTCAGCGTTAAGTTATTGACAACCTAAGTTTCAGTCCTGTTCCGTGGTTGCTAATCTTTATTATGGTGTTCATATCAGGTGGCAAATTGGTTCATCAATGCACGGGTGCGTCTTTGGAAGCCAATGGTTGAGGAAATGTACAAAGAAGAGTTTGGTGAATCGGAGATGAACTGCAATCTTTCTTCTGAAAATATGATCATAGGTAAAAGAGATGATGTTCAAGCGTCTGATAATAAATGGGAAGAGTCACAGGAGAATTTAATAACTGTTGATAGTGTCCAACCGGGGCAACTTCATGGGTTGAAGTCAGAACATGCCTCCTCCACTACTGAATTGGACAGAGAAAATGTGACGGATTCTGGAACAAGGAAATTGCAGGGTAACCAAAGGTTTAGCATGAACAATGATCTTTATTCGAGCGAACCTATGCCAAACAACCAGAACGGTGATGGCAGCCTAATAATGACTTCTACTCCTGTTACATATGATATATCAGAGTTGGGTAACATTACTGTGGGTGGCCACGTCTCACTTGCATTGGAATTGAGGAACTGTGAAAGCGATGGATTTACCATGTCCGATGATGCCATACATAAAAGACGTAATCAGACATTGGCTTCTTCCCCAGAGACTGATTTGCTAGATTATCATTTCACAGATTCAGGAAAGCAACAACACAGGATTGGAAATCCTCATCTTTTGCATGAGTTTGTCGTATGAAATCTAGCAAAAATATTTGATGATTTTAAGGGATCTCTGCTGCAAAAGGTGTACCACCATATATAAAGCGGAAAGAGAAAGCCTATGCTGCTACTTTCTTTGTTCATTCTTGTTGCCCATTATTGTTCATAAAGTTACGTAAATTACAAACCGTACAAAATATACAGGTAGATATGTGTAGATATTCGCTTGTAATAATTTTACAGATGATTGGTTGTATGTGCAGGTAATTTTTGTTAGGATAAAGAACACATCTTTGTGCATTATGTTGAATAAGGGAATCTTGTTTTAAAATAAAAACATATACGATGCGACTATATTGACTCTTGTTTAGTAAATTCACGGCATGTCGTGTGGTCCATGTGCACACCTTTGTCTGTGTCATTGATGAATGATGATTCTTCATAACTTGCATGGAAGCAACCCTTTCTTGCCAGAAATAAAATCGTATCCCTCTTCTTTTTTTAAAAAAAAATTGATTGAACCTATGAAGATTGGTGAAATGTTTTTTGGCTTTGAAGATGCACAAAATTGTATTATATTTGGGAACAAAGGGCATTTTAATCTTGGTTGAATAAATAATGTATTTTGTATAGAAATAAGATGAAAAGGAGGGGCTCTGATCTAGGTATGCGGCCTTTAACAGACCAAAGTTACGAAAGGAGAAAATGACAACTGGAGGACCCCAAAGGAACAAAGATCGCAATCATTACTAAGGCATCCAAAAGGGACCAATACGCTCCCCATAATAAGTCTAATCAACACATCAGACCAAACACAGCACCTCACTCTCTCTCTCTCTCTCTCTCTATTCTATTTTATTTATCTCCCTTCACAAATTGTGATAATCAGTGTCCTTTCAACATCCCTATGCATGCTCACAAGACCCTAACAGCAAAAAAGTTAGATATTCCATCCTTATTATTTATACAGCCTCGCAAACTGACAATCCTAGAACTGGGAGTGTGCAAAAGATAGCCCACTTTTCTCCTCTTTTTGCAGATGACCACAATATAATGAACACAACAGTTTAACCTATGGAGGGCTCTTCTCCTCTCCTGTGATGAGAGGGAAAGAGATTCACACTGTTTCGAGCTGCTTTTTGAGTCTCCCCAAAAAAAATAACTGCAGGGAGTAAAGCTGGAAGGTTGATGCTTTTGCTTCTTGTTTATAGTCAGGAAAAGTTGGGGACCAGTTTTTTTTTCTGTCATTTTCTATGTTTTATAACATAGCCAATTAACTTGGCTTCTTTAAGAAAGGCCAGAACTGTGTCATAGACTCATTCATAGGTCTGAGGGTAGAGATTGATATAGATCTGCTGGGAAAAGAGAACCAAAATTATTGTAATTTTTCATTGAATTTATTATGGAAGGCATATTTGCATCATTGTTGAAACTTGAAACGTGAAACTTCAATAGCTATAAAGGTGTGGCTTCAGGTCCACTTGCCAAGTGCCTTGAATTTGCACCCTTTTTTGTGGATAAAATATCAATGCAAATTTTTTTTTTAAAGTTTTAAAATTATTCTATCATGCAACTTTATTTTATTTTTTACAAAAATTTACTTTCAATATAAGGAATTTCCATGTTAATTGTACTTGTTTCTTCACATATCAGAAAAATTTATCTAACATAGTTATCTGTGTCTTGCCTTTCAGTAAATCTCTTTCCTTTGCATCTTTACTGTGCCAATAAGTAGTTTGAGTTAATGGGTAAAAAACAGTTCTTCAACCTTGTCCTGTTTTCAAGTTGTTAATTTTTATTTATGCTCTTTACAAGTCCGGTCTCTTTAACACCTCTTCTTAGCTTGTCTTGAAACCTTCTCCAAATAAATAAATCTTCTCTGTGATTTTGGCAGTTTAGAGTATTCACACTTTCTTACTGAATACTGGAGCTGCATTTTCCCCGGGATCAATGGCTTTGGTTTTTTAAAGTGTACAGCCTTCAAATTTGAAACTTGGGAGTTGATTGTGACCACTGATTATCCTTGCCAATGAATCCACAGCTGAAAATCGATGGGCTTTCTGCGACATAGTACGGATTCTCCACTTCCGTGTATTATTAAGTCATTTCTTCAGATAGCTTTTTACTCAAATAGTTTCTTCAGTACGTTAAAAACAGTGTTCATTTCCCTTGGATGTTCCATTTCCTCATTTTGTCTTTTTTAGAAATCAGAATGATATGGGATTTATGTTTCTTCTCTTTCACTGTAGTGGAGAGTCACAACTCACATGCCTCAAATTTCCAATAGGTTCTGTTCTTCACTTTGTTAGTTAGACAAGGAGAAGAACTTGTTTACTACCACCAGCATAGTTTGGGTTCCTTTTTAATTCCCCAGTCACAAGACAAGACCCATTACAAAACAAGTAGTATATCTCACAAGCTCATTATGTCCAACTCCATAACCCATCAAAACCAATTTGAGAACCAAGACCTCGATGCTTATGGCTCTTCCTTAAGGAGCAACAATGCATTTCCTGAAGCCCTGGGAGCATTTCCAAGCATTCAATCTATTGGAGATAGAATAACAAGATCAGTGCACCTTGTGCAAGCTCCTGTAATAGCTGCTGAGGGCTCTGAGATCAGCCACACAAGGCATTTGATGGATCTTCTTGGAGCAGCTAATGAGAGCAATCACCAACCTCAAGGCCTCTCCCTTTCTTTGGGCTCTCACATGCTTGTTCCTTCTGATGAATACAAGCATCGATCCTTAAATCCGGGTCTCATTAACCCCAATTACTTCATGTCTGGACAAGAGGCACGGGAAGCTTGTAATCCAGCAGTGGAGCATCTAACTAGTGACTACTTTTTCACCAGTGGCACTTTTGCTTCTTCTTCTACCTCATTGAACCGTTCTCTTTCCACCTCTTATGGAGCAGATTCTTTTGCTGCTGTCATTGGGAACTCAAGATACCTCAAACCAGCACAGTCCCTTCTTCAAGATCTTGTTGATATTGGCGGAAACATGGTTGATAGCATCAATGAAAAATATGGGGAGAAGTTATTTCATGGGAGTAGAACACTCTCCTCAGAGTTAAAAGCAGAGTTGCGGAATAATGGACCTTTATTGGCTGACAAACATGAACATCAAATGAAAATTGCAAAGTTGATTACTTTGTTGGATGAGGTTGGTCCTTACTGCCAGTTTTTTTCACTAACTTGGATGGCATTTAGACTCTAAATTGATCTCTTTCTTTCGTTGTACTCAATTTTCAGGTTGAGGGCAGATATGAGAAATATTACCATCAAATGGAAGAAGTGGTGTCATCATTTGAAATGATAACAGGTCTGGGAGCTGCAAAGTGTTACACTGCTTTGGCACTTCAGGCCATGTCTAGGCATTTCTGCAGCTTGAGAGATTCCATATTGTCACAAATAAATGTGGAGAAAAGAAAACTCTTTCAGGATTTGCCTAAAATCAATAGCGGATTATCTCAACTAAGCTTGTTTGATAGAGATTCTAGACAGAGTAGAATGTCTCTCCAACATCTTGGGGTGATCCAAAACCAACGGCAAGTATGGAGACCCATCAGAGGGTTGCCTGAGACCTCTGTAGCAATTCTTCGTTCTTGGCTATTTGAGCACTTTCTCCACCCGTAAGCTGCTACTAAGCTTATCAAAATTAGGTTCTTGTTTTCTTTGCACTTCAGTCATTTCCTGCCTTACAGAAATGCTAATTTGATATCTTATTCCTGCAGTTATCCTAATGATTCTGAAAAGTTAATGCTGGCATCCCAGACAGGTTTAACTAAGAACCAAGTAATTTCTTATATCCAAAAACTTCACCCCTTTTCCATTTTCTCTTTTTTTCTTTTTTCTTTTTTCTTTTGGATACACACACCCTATTACATAATTACTCACACCCCTCATCACTGGACTAACCCCATTGACTTCATTTTCTCTTTTTCCTAGTTATGGTACTCATGTTAGAGTATTTATTGTTGCTTCAGGTCTCAAATTGGTTCATAAATGCTCGGGTACGGCTATGGAAACCAATGATAGAAGAAATGTACAAAGAAGAGTTCGGAGACTCTTCAGAAGACTCCAACCCGCCTGCTAACAACTACTTGGCGAGGGAAGATACCACAGATTGTGTGGAAGATTGAATTAAAACCACCAAAGAAAAAAAAAAGATTGGTTGATATTAATGGGCCTTGAAATGGTTGCCCCTTTCTCCAAAATCAGGAGAGAATCATTATGTAACATAACAAGATGAGCCAATAGGACTTCAGGTGAAATTCTAGTTTTCGAAAATCATGACATGTGTTCTTTAGATTAGTAACCAGCTATCAGCCTTTTAAAACATGTTGAGGATTTACTTGTAGTTATGTCAGGTTTGCAATTGATACCAGTTGATTGGAAAAAGCAATGGATGAGAAGATAGCTTTATCACAAATTCGCAATCTGTTTCAGTAGCTCTCCCGTATAATCATATCATGTTTCCTCTTTTTGTAATCATTGAGATAGCCATTTTCGTAAGATTTGTTCTTATTTTGTGTTAAAAATCAAATTAGTGGAAGAAAACGAGGTAGGTGATAGCCATTTAAAGTTCTTATTTTTGTCTAACAAAATTCTTAAACTGATAATGGGGATGGAAAACTGTTAACAATTTAAATAGTTATGTTTGTTCTTTTAAAAATCAACTTTAACTTGGCATGTTACTTATTATAAACTTTTCTCGAGTTTGACTCTATTTGTGAAAATATAAAATTTTAGTCTCGTTTGTCCTAAATTGTATAGAAATCTTTAAAGAAGTTATGTTTCCCCAACAATTTATTCGGTCATCAAATCCATCTGTAATAATAGCTAAATAAAATAATAAGGTGAGGGTAAGCTTTTCTGCCAAACTGATACGTATTAAGCTTAATTCCTAAAAGTATTTGTATATATATATATATATATATATATATATATATATATATATATATATATATATATATATATAGAGGCAGGATCCTTTGACACCGGTGTCAAAGGAAAAGTTTGACACCTCATCTAAGAGCCGTTAGATTAAAAAAAAACAATGGTGTAACATGCTTACAAATCAGAATCGTTTATTTTTTTTAATATAACGGCTCACAGATACGGTGTCAAACTTTTTTTTTTGACACCGGTGTCAAAGGATCCTGTCTCATATATATATATATATATATATATATATATATATATATATATATAGTATACGACTAGCCATGCCAACTATGAAACAACTTATTAGGAAGACAAGACAGCCAATCCGAAATGTCACGAAATCCCCCGCCCTTCAGGGATGCCCTCAGCGTCGAGGAACGTGTACTATGGTGTATGTGCGGCTCGTTCAGATCATTCCCCCCCCCCCCGAATCAGAATAAATATGTTTTCGAACCCTTTCTTTCAAATTCAAAGTGTATGTTCCAGAGGCTGAATTAAACAAGCTTTTCGGCCGGAGATGAGTAAGATGGAATGCTTTAAGGCGATTCCATTATTGAATCTATCGTATCATAGATATTTCACACCAACCTAATCTCGATGAAAAGAGAGCGCATCCAAAGCACCTTTTACTAAGATCAATGTTGTTGTATGTAAACCAAGAGCAATGGCATGATGAACCAAGAAGTCTCCGGGCCCTATTGTTAAGAATAGAGAATTACTATTCTCATTAATGGCATTTAACCAACCGGGCAACCATATGCTCCGCCCAGCGGATAGGATCAACTTACACCGGTGTAAGAATAATAAATCTTACACCAAATCTTAACCGTTGATTTCCGTGCATCTAATGGTTGAAAATTAAAAATTAATTAATGAGTGAGACCTAATAAATCTTAACCGTTAGATGCATAAAATCAATAGTTAAAATTTGGTGTAAGATTTATTATTCTTACATCGGTATAAGATGATCCTGCCCCTATATATATATATATGGGAAAACATTTTCTCCTTTTAAAGGAGAAAATTTTTCTCATGTTAATGACCCATAGCATAAGTGGGTCCCACAAAATAGTGGAAAGAGAAAAAAATTCAAGGTGAGACCCACTTATGCTTTGAGTCACTAACATGAAAAAAAAAATTCTCCTTTAAAAGGAGAAAATGTTTTCCTATATATATATATATATATATATATATATATATATATATATAAAGTATTGTGCGGAACCCTCTCTTTCTTCATGTTGGGTTACTCAAATATGTAATGGTGCCTCCAAATATGATGGAAGTACTATAGAACTGAGAGTCTCTTGGCGAATATAGCCTTGATCACTTTATTCATACTTTTGGTCATTGACTTGAAAAGGGCTTGGAATTTGCGATATTGAAGATTAATTTGGTAACGTGACAACAGGTTTTACGGACTCTTTGGATGGTTTTTTTTTTTTCAAAAGCTTCTTTTAAAAAAAAAAAAAAAAAAATTTCATTTTTAGTTCAATTGGATATCTGCTTTTAAAAAAGCAGAAGTCACAAAAAAAGTTAAAAATTTACTTTTTTCAGAAGTTAAAAGTTTTAACTCCTAAAAAAAACAAAAGTCAAAAGTCAAATATTTTTTTCAAAAACTAAATATTTTTATAAAAATATAAAAAAATTTAACTTTTGTAAAAAATACTTTTAAAATAAAGAAGAAATAAAAATTATTTTTTTAAAAAGGCGAAACAAAGAGGCTCTTGCTGCACATAAAGGCTGTCATAGTATAGTATTTGAATCTCAACTCCTGCCTTATGCTGTCTCCTTAAAGTTACATGTGTTTGGGGAGCACATATGGTTGGGGATTATATTTTTAATGAACTAAATTAGCTTATCTACAATAAATAAAATTGACACCTCTTAATTCAAAATCTTAAGTTATTAGGTTTCATGTATCTTCCACTTATATCATTTTCACCTATCTTATTATCAATTAATGTCACACACCATCGCACTTAAATATTTCAACACTACTAAGAAAATGGATGGTGAAACTTAGTCATATTTATAGTTACATGTACATTGAACTTGCCTTTCAAGATGCAATTTATTCAGGCATCTCTAAAACTAAATATCCTCCTTATGTCTAATATAATGTAGGCTGTAATCTTTTTATTTATTTTTTGTAATAATGTAGGCTGTAATCTTACGATTAGTTGCTAGTTGAAGTAATTAGACCCTAATAGGAAAAGCAATCTAATTAAATTCATAAACCACCGTGAAACTTTTGGGACTTGTAGTCTTGAATCTTCATCAGGTTAATATAAGGTCAATTCTTTTTTTCTTTTTTTGTTAAGAAAATCAATTCATTTTCAACATAAAAAGGGTTTGAGGTTCAAAAATATCTTATTTATGCCATACAATAAAATGAAGTGTGCATCATGCTGTCGTGGAGGAAGTACTACGAGTGCCAATGTCAAAAACAAAACACGAGTGGGTCGCTTGATCTTTTGAGTACTAGTATATTTTTAGCGTTTTATTAATCTTATGTTAACTCATGTCATAAAGATAAATTTGTGGGCTTCACCATCTGAAAAAAAAAAATATAACACAATTATCGAAGGGTGTATAAAAGAAAAAAATTATCTCATATAGCATCAGAATAATTTTTCTCATATTTAAATATATATATATATCAAAGAAGTCGATGCAAGAGTGAATGCTCGATATACATTGTCCCTTGAAAATATATACTCATCTCAATACATTAAATTAGAGTATATTTTTTAAAAACTAAAATTTTAATTCTATTATTTTTTAAAATAACATATATCATTCTTTAAATTTATATTCTTTTACATTAATTATATACTTTTTATAATTTTTAATATGTTTTCTAATATACATTTTATAAATTAGATAGTGTTATTTTGATTTTAAATTGGTTTGGGCTGAATGCTTTAGATTTAAGCCCAGTCTCAAGGGGTTTTGAATTGCATTGTAGAGAGTTCCAGGCCCATACATTTCTTTGTCCGATCATGGTGAGTAGATAATTTGTGATATCTCGATTGATTGGAATGTCAAATGTGGGACTGAGAGAGAGAAGATGCTAAACCAGGTTACAACCATGTTTGCAATTAGAGTTCGATATCGAAAGATTGAGCGGAAACCCTAGAAAAAGAAAGAAAGAAAGAAATAGAATGCGAAATTAGAGATTGAAAAAACTGGGAAGAATGGCGAAGCATTCAATGGCAATGCCGAAGCAGAGGTGGACGCTAATGTTACTGACATTCTTGTCTGTCTCAACATTGATGGTGCTGTTCATGAGACCCAGCAATTCTGATTCCTGCAACACTAAGCATTTTGGAGCACAACACGATCAGATACTCTCCTCCGTTCCAAGTTCCAGTCCCCTAGATTTAATGAAGTCTAAGCTTGTTCTTATGGTTTCGCACGAGCTCACTCTTTCAGGTTCTTTATATCACAAATCAAATCTCTTTTTTTTTTTTTCTTTCTTTTTTTCCCGTTTGATGATAAAAGAGAATATGCATTGGATTCACTTGCAGGCGGACCTTTGCTGCTAATGGAGTTAGCGTTTCTGTTAAGGAGCGTTGGTTCTGATGTTGTTTGGATCACCAATCAGAAACCTGCAGAACCTGACAACGTGATTTATAGTTTGGAAAGTAAAATGTTGGACAGAGGAGTCCAGGTGATTTTCTTTCCCTCAAAGTGAATGCTCGATATGTAATTTAGTTTACAGGTCGTGAGTCTTGTGACTATTCACCACTCCCAATTGCATGTTCAAGTCAAACTTTAATTAATAATATGCCTATTTGTCTGTTCACTTTTAATTCACAACAATTTAGAAAATTGCAATTACAAGTCCTACGTGGTGACTGTCAAATTAATACTGTTTAAAATAAAAATTACGTGGGTTCAGCAACTTGGGTTTTTCCATGTTTGCAAGTGTAAAACAGTGTGCATGATTAAGTCTGCAAATAGCATACCTCCAATGAAAGTGAATGACTAATTGATCTGCAACTCCCAGTAACTTAATAACATAAATTGGGACATTTTACAGCTAGAGAGGCTGCAGGATGGATATGCTGTTGTAAGCTTGTTGAAATATCTTTCCATGTAATCAATATAGCATTGATTTCTTCAAATATTTTATAAACAGAGGAATTCTTTTTCTTCAGCCTTTTCATCTGTTTCTTTATTGAGTTGGACGTCAGTCCAATCTGTAAGGAATGGCTAGACCACCGTTTTATATCCATGTATTATTGGACTTCTAAGTGCAGCCTTTTTTTTCACCTGTTTTGGCTCCTGATAGGTCCTGCCTGCCAAAGGTGAAAAGGCTATAGATACAGCTCTTAAAGCTGATCTAGTCATTCTTAATACTGCTGTAGCTGGAAAGTGGCTGGATGCCGTTCTCAAGGAAAAAGTTTCCCATGTTCTTCCAAAGGTTTTGTGGTGGATTCATGAAATGCGAGGGCATTATTTCAAAGTGGAATATGTTAAGCACCTCCCTTTTGTTGCAGGTGCCATGATTGATTCACATACAACTGCAGAGTACTGGAAGAATAGGACTAGGGAGCGTTTAGGGTATGGTTCCAACATCATTTGATAGATTTTTTTACAGCTACCTGTTCTGTGTAACAACTATAAATTCAGTCATGTTTCTAACTGTATGCTTTGATCCAACTTTGTAGGATTAAAATGCCTGAGACTTATGTTGTACATCTAGGAAATAGCAAGGAACTTATGGAAGTTGCTGAAGATAGTGTAGCAAAGAGGGTTCTTCGTGAACATGTTCGGGAATCTCTTGGAGTGAGAAATGATGATCTACTTTTTGCCATCATAAATAGTATGATCTCTTCCTTAATGATCACTACCGTACTCATTTCTAGTTCTCATTAGACTAGTTTTATCCAATCTAAAGCATGATCTGCTACTGGCAAGCTTATTACCTGATTAACATCTTTTAGCTTGTAATTTCTCTTTTCTTAAGTTGTGCATGCCAATTTAATCCTTCCCTTTGTGTAGTCTTCACACCCTATCCGTTCATTTTGACCATCCTTTTACCAGTCTATATTTTGAGCTCCAGGGTCATATAATTGCAGGTGTTTCACGTGGTAAAGGGCAGGATCTATTTCTTCGCTCCTTTTATGAAAGCCTGCAACTTATTCAGGAGAAGAAACTCCAGTTGCCATCTTTGCATGCTGTTGTAGTAGGGAGTGATATGAATGGTCAGACAAAGTTTGAAATGGAACTGCGCAAGTTTGTTATGGAGAAAAAAATCCAGGACCGCGTTCATTTTGTTAATAAAACCCTGGCAGTGGCTCCCTACCTGGCTTCTATTGATGTTCTTGTTCAGAATTCTCAGGTATATTCTGATAATATACACTGCTGAGTTGATTATGAAACAGAATATATATTACATTCTATTTTTTGGCAAAGTGAGAGTTGCTATATGACTTAAGTGGCAGGACTACATTGTAGATTATGAGGGCCGGATAAATTTTCAGCACTCCTGTGAGACTGAAAACTCAATGCTACACTACACCCGCTAAAATTAGAAAAACGTGACGCACCTAACTCTATTTACTCTACCGATTTATTTATTTTTGATGCCACATGAATTTACTTATTTCTAATTTTAGTAAGGGAATATGTACTACTGGATTACTTAAGATTTACTCAAGGGGGCCATAGCCCCCGAACTCTTTACATTCTAATAGCAAACCTTATAATTTATTTTTTTAATTAAATATAGATTTAAATCCATAAAATATTATGTTGGACTGACAACCCTATTGGTTCTGTTTTGCCAGTCTGACTGTTTGGCCTTTCAGATTCTTACGTGTAAATTGATTTGTTTGACTTCCATAATGTGTTAAGACAAAGTTCATTAAGGGACCAGAAGATAGATATTATTAATTGTGTTTAAATTCTGTTTATAGTATTATTTTGGTTTTTGGACTTCATTCACGAATGTGCTTCTCTTAAAATCAGGCACGGGGAGAATGTTTTGGAAGGATAACCATTGAAGCAATGGCATTTCGCCTGCCTGTACTGGTATCTCCTTTACTACATTTTAAAAGTTGCCTTGTCAAAATGGCCTTTCCTTATATATATATATATATATATGGGTTCATCTCATAAATATAGCTGTTTTTTTCGGCCGGCTCGCTACACCTGACGCCAACCCTCCTCCTTTATCCTGACTTGGGACAGGCCATGCATGCAAGCATAGACAGAGTTATTTTATTTTTATTTTTATTTTTATCTTATTTTATTTTTTTAATCTCCTCTTATTTATCATTGGGTTCATCTACCACCGACCCCAATTAGCTTGGGTTGAAGCTGAAGCTGATGCTGATGTTAATATATATATATATATATATATATATATATATATATATATATATATAAATATATATATATATATATGTTGTTGTGTTTAATTGGTGCTGATTGTCTGCTCAGCATCCAGTTTGTTGTATGATACTGTGCTTCGTTTATTCATTTATCTTTAATGTCTTCTATGTTTCTGTTTATCTTTTTGTTGTTTTGGTTCCTTACCCCTCCCCCAAAAAATTGAAAAGAAAAACAGAAACAAAAAACTGAAAAAGTTATTTCATTTTTGCAGGCATTTTTGAATGCTAACCTCACATGTAAAATAAATTTCAATTATTTTTCCAAATCTCAGTTTCCTTCTTATGTATGCTCATCTGCTACATCCTTAGTGAGAATTTTCAGTTCTTAACTTTTTTGTGGGTCCATTTGAGTTATTGGCACTCCGAATTTTCTTTTGGTGATTTTTTAAGAAAAAAGGATAACTGTTCAGCAACTTGAATGCTCCTCTTCACCCTTTGCGATGTTCTTTTGAATATGTCAACCTTTGTTCCCTTATTTTCCTTCCCATTTGCTCAATCCTCTCTACCTTCCCCCTCTAGTTGTCCCAGTTGTTTAAGGTATGCTTCTACTATTATTGAAATCATGGCGGAGATATCGAGGAAGAAATATTTATTCATAGGAAGCTAAAATATGCAGCCAATGCTTTGCTAACGTGAATGAGATACAGAATACTGTCATAGTTGTTGGGAGTCAGATGATACAGCTTCTGTTCATATGTTAGTTGCAAAGTTTAATTGAGCTGCTTCTGACTATAATCAATTCCTTGTAATTTCAATTAGAGTATAAGACATTTTAGTTTGGGTAGATGTTTTCCGTTGATGATATTGATGATTAATTATGAATGAGATGATGACAAAGCTTTTGATTTGAAATTTATTATCGTACATATATAGTAGCATATTCATTATTTGTTTCTTGCTGCAAAAACAATAACCAATTTTTTGCCATCAGACTGTTACAACTTGGTTACTGCAGTTTGGGAATCTATGCAATTGATAATATGTTTATGCATTTATATTTGAGCTTGTAACTTTTATTTTCAATTATAAATATTCCCAGGGCACTGCTGCTGGGGGCACCACGGAGATTGTGGTAAATGGGACAACCGGTTTGCTGCATCCTGTTGGGAAAGAAGGTGTGACACCTCTTGCAAATAACATTGTGAAATTGGCTACTCATGTTGAGAAGAGGCTGACTATGGGAAAGAAAGGGTATGAGAGAGTGAAGGAGAGGTTTCTGGAGCACCATATGGCACATAGAATTGCATTGGTTCTGAAGGAAGTTTTACGGAAGGCTAGGCAGAATTAAATTAACCAGCTTAGGTACCTTACTGTTAATTTGTAAATTGATTCCACAGTTAAAAAAAAAAAGGGTTCAGTGAGAATGAATTCGTGTACGGAGTGTCCTTTGTACCATGTCTTTTCCTCGCTCTGAACGCTTCTTTTCTCTGGTTTGAATTACTTGATTTATACCATCAAAATGTGTACCATCTTAATAATAACATTAAAAATAAAATTGAAGTGGAAGATAATAATAGCTAACCTTACTAAAGAGGTATACTCGGCGGTGGCATGGTAAAAGAGATTTTTTTGTGGAAATAGGTGAAATTAGATTATATGCAATTAACACGGTAAGTTCCCGCAAAAACTTGTAGCATGGCTGGCCTTGGAATGGTATAGCGTTTTCTTTCCTTAAATTGTTTTTTAACAAAAAAGAAAAAGAAAAAGAATAAATAAGCACTTTCATGCTGCCAATTATTTTACCATTGCCAGTTTTCTAAATAGATATTTAAAAAAATTTAAGTCTGTTTTATTTTATTATTTATAACAGATCAAGTCTGTCCTAATATAGGCTAGGTCGTAGGCTCCTGCAGCAATGGCGGAGCCCGGCTCCAATTTGAGTCCAGGCTAAAAAAGTACGTGTATTTAATTTTTGTAATTTTAATTTGTTCATATCATAATATATTTAAATTATATTAAAAATAAAGCAACTGAACAGGCTAAGTTATAATTTTATTAAATATTTTTTAATTTTACTAAAAATATTTTATTTTATTTATAGAAGTGGAAATTGAAACATAACCTAGTATAACTTATCCAAATCTTTCACCAAAAATATTTTCAATTTTAGATAGAGCCAAATTACAAATTGTAGCTCGGATCAAATTATAATTTTAACCCCGGTCAAATTATAATTAATTATATAATTATATATAATAAGTATAATTTGTTAAAATTTAGCCCAAGTCGAGGCCACACCCAAGCTATATGTGGCTCCGCCACTACTCTGTAGGCCGACCTAATACATTTACTGCCCTATTTGTAATAATACATTTTTCGGCGTCTATAATAGTATAATTTCAAGATTAAAAAAAAAAAGATTGTGTTTCGTGTTGATTCGAAAAGAACTAGGAGGCTTCTGGATTTAAATGCTCTTACAGTACCATTGTTGCAAATTTGAATTGTGCTTGCGAGAGATAAAATATGTCAAATGAGATGTCATTGCGTAGATATCAAAAAGTTACATGGAATCAAAAAAATTTACCTAATTCGGATACCCGAGTTAAAAGTTATGATATTTCAAAGTTTTACAATTAAACTATTAATTTTTGTGCCACATGTCAACATCATACGAATCCCGCCTAAGTTAGGCGTGAGTGTCTTGTGATTCACGCCTAACTTAGGCGTGAATGGTCACACCTAATTCATTTGGCGTGACATCCTGAAATAAATCCGTAAATAGTATAAAAATAACTTTATATTCGTAATTATTTATTTAAATTGCAATATATTAATTTTTTTTCCCAATAATTTTGTAAAAACAAATATAAATGTATCTATCTCTTCAAACTAAGGATTAATTATAATTAAATCAATCTAGTAATTAAATAGAAGATTACGATAAAAAAAAATTGATTTTAATTTAATTTAAAATATAAAGATAGGTTATTTTACTTACTTCTTTTTCTACTCACTTTTGTCTATCACTCTCCAATACCGTTAGATCTGAATTTTAATAGGAGAGAGAAATAATAAAGATAATTGAGATTCTAATCTAACAGTATTGGAGAGTGATAGAAAAAGGTTGAAAAAAAAGAGATAGGAAGAATAATCTATCTCTATAATTTAAATTTAATTTTCAATTTTTTTATCGTAATCTTCTATTTAATTATAACTAATCCTTAATTTGAAGAGATAGATACTTTTGTTATATTATTTATCTTTGTTTTTTCAAATATTTATTTATTAAGATATAGCCGGATTCTGTTAATTCTTTTTTTTTTATCACTTTTGTCCAATGTTAAAAACATATATTATTACCAACAAAGTCCAGCACAGTTAGTAGATAGTTGAGTTTCTTAAGCATGCTGACAGTGGTTCGATTCCTGACCGTGAGTATGGAGATGGCTTTGTTGGGAGAGGTTTACCCACTTAATGTGATCTTCCGCCTCGAAAGAATTAATCTTCGGCTGGAGGATACCTTGGGAAAAAAAAAAAACCTTCATTATTTTCACACACAAAAAACCATACATTATAAATTAGAAGTACCGGAGTTAAACTCTCTAACACCGTTATATTGAAATCTCAACTATTTTTATCATTTATGTCTCCTAATGAAATTCTAAACTAATTATGTTGAAGAGTGATAGATAGAAAAAAAAATAGATAGAATATTTTATTCATATTTTCAATTAAATTAATTATCAAAAAAATTTATTCGTAATCTTCTACTTAAATACTAGATTGATTTAATTTAATTAAATCCTTAATTTGAAGAGATAGATATCTTTGTTAGATTATTTATCTAAATATTTCTTTATTAAGATATAGCCGGGTTCTGTTACCAAAAAAAAAAAAGATATATCCGGATTCTTTATTTTGATAACTGTTGTCTAATGTTAAAAACATACCTTTACCGGAAAAATTACTCTTATGTTACATGTATTAAATTTTTAATTTACACATTCTTTTATAATTGTGCTATCTTTTTCTTTTCTAAATTGTGGAGCCCACAAATTTGTCTATATGACAAGAGATAATTTATCCTTTAATATGAGATTAATAAAACCCTACATTTATTAAAATTTGTTTTTTGTTTCCAAACAAAAAAAAATCATTATTTTCAAAAAGAAACCAAACATTATAAATTAGAAGTACCGGACTTGGTAGTTTAAGGTTTCCAAGTCGCTCGAATCTGTTCTAGTGTTCTGAGTTTGTACAACCTCAACCTTCCGTTTCTGGGATTTCGAAGCGGCACAACGATGTCGGACGCAGAAGATGCAGTACGACGCCGTAATGTGGCGGCGGAGTATCGAAAGAAACTCCTTCAGCACAAGGAATTGGAATCCAGAGTGCGATCCGGTTGGTCTCTTAATTTCACCATCGATTTTCTGTCCGTTGTAATAATGTCTAGAATTTCTTCTTACTTCTAATTTTCATCTATTCTGAAAAATCCCAGTTTTAGGGTTTGTGCTCTTGGGCTTTTGTAACCCTAGATTCGCTTGACATCAGACAATACTAGCATGTTAGTTTGATTAGGTTTAAAAAAGATTCTGAGAAAAATATTCCTGGTTTATTCGAGAGCCTGACCTAGGAAAAATGTGGTCTTGATGATTTTACATCTTTTTCTGGAAATTAGGGTAAGGTTATCAAGTGGATCTGTTGTCAAAATCACTTAGAAGCCTCACTGTGATTCTTTTGGTGAAATAGTTATATTCCTAGTTGAGCAATTAAATATTGATACATTTCTTAGTCAGAGACAAAGGGGCATAGCATCTGATTAAAGCTGCTAATGGCTGATCCACAATCTGCTTTTAGCATGCGCTTTACCATTCAAAAAATGGAAATTCCTTAATCGTCTCATTTAGCTTATGATTTTAATAATAAACAATAATTCTCATTCACTTTCTTCTTTATTTTGGCCCGATTTCTTTCTTCCTTTCTTTTTAACAAATGATGGAATCCTTATGGAGGAGAATGGCGACTTTGACTTAAAAACTCAAATTGCAGTGAGGGAGAATTTGCGTGCTTCAAAGAAGGAGTTCAATAAAACAGAAGATGATTTGAAGTCTCTTCAAAGTGTTGGGCAGATCATCGGCGAAGTTCTCAGGCCTCTTGACAATGAACGATGTAATTATTCTACCCTTTTCATTTCATATTTGAATGATGTATCATTGAACATCTTCATTCTTCTTATCATCTCTATATCTATATTAGGTTGTCTCTTTTGGATACTTGGATTACCTGCATAATGTGTTATAATATATTGAGATTATTTGCAGAACTTTTTTTTTGGCATCCGTTTTTTTCCCTTAAACTTTATCCTTGTGCTATTATTCTATTTTTTATGAATATCAAACGTGTGCTTCAATGATTCTTGATATATATTTTTATAATTCAAATACCTGCCCTAGCTACCCAATATATTATCCTATCTGTTTTGTTGATTGATATGAATTCAGCAGTCAGTCAATGGTTATAGAATTTTTATTTTTTTTTGTTATGTCAGTGATTGTTAAAGCAAGCAGTGGTCCCAGGTATGTGGTTGGCTGCCGCAGTAAAGTAGACAAGGAAAAACTTACTTCCGGAACCAGAGTGGTTCTTGACATGACAACACTCACCATAATGCGCGCCCTTCCTCGCGAGGTAAGTTATAAAGTTTTTTTTTTTTCATATTTTTATTTGATGAAGGTGTTTGTGTCTTGTTCGGCTACCTAATTTGGTTTATTTTTGAAAATCATATGCTACTTTTCCATTCCTGCTGGTCACTATTGTCTATCATTTGAGTTGCCAGGTTGATCCAGTAGTTTACAATATGCTGCACGAAGATCCCGGTAATGTCAGTTACTCAGCTGTTGGTGGCTTATCTGATCAGATCAGGGAATTGAGGGAATCAATTGAATTACCTCTGATGAACCCTGAACTCTTTGTTCGAGTTGGAATTAAACCTCCTAAGGTGATTACCTTTTCACTGCACTTTCTAGTACCTGAACTCTATTAGTGTAAATCTTTATTGTTACCAGCATTGTCATCTAAATCTCTACTTTTTTGGTGGAAGCGTATTTTAGATAGTATTACTTTTAAATTTTGCATTTGATCAACATCTTCTCAATTCTCATCTTTCAGGGTGTTCTCCTTTATGGGCCTCCTGGTACTGGTAAAACATTGTTAGCTCGGGCAATTGCCAGTAATATAGATGCTAACTTCTTAAAGGTCAGAATATCAACTCTCTGTGTTTTGAAGTGTTCTTCAGTATAAAATAATTTTACTTTACCTTCATTCTGATGTAGGTTGTTTCAAGTGCCATAATTGATAAATACATTGGAGAAAGTGCCAGGTTAATAAGAGAGATGTTTGGGTATGCACGTGATCACCAGGTGAGATTGTGTTTAGTTGTCTTCCTATCGATTTATATATACAAATTGAAAATAGTTCTAAATCTCCACCTTGTTTGTTTAGCCCTGCATAATTTTTATGGATGAGATCGATGCCATTGGTGGTCGCCGTTTCAGTGAAGGAACAAGTGCAGATCGCGAGATTCAGAGAACCCTAATGGAGCTGCTTAATCAACTTGATGGGTTTGATCAACTTGGGAAGGTATGTTTTATTCCATAATCCCATTTTACTTGATTTAAAAATAGCCATCATACTTGACCTTTAGAAAAACATGATGCCTTGTAGCAAATTCCTAGGATGAGGAACTCTATTCTTCTGTTGTCTTCTATTTGTAGTTTTATTTTTTAGTGGAGGTGTTGAGTGTTGGATCTGTAGTAAGCATGCACGGTATATACAATTCATATATCTTACACTTCTAGATGGTATATTATTTTTCCTTATCGATGCAATAAGATACGCAAATACAATAATTTTTAAAAAAATTAAGATATGGGTACAGCAATATATATTAAATAAAATATTTATATTTATACAGTGAAAAATTAAAAACAACTTGCATTCATTGCAATTCGAGTCCAAGTGTTCTCCCTCTCCCTTGCTTGTGGTGAGGGTGAAATTTTGATGCTTTGTACGATGATTTTGAGAAGGATGAGATTGCAAGTGAGAATATGCTTTGAGGGAATAAATTGGTGATGACTGGACTTATATATCCCGGAATTTTTTCCAGAATGGATGAGATTTCAAAAGTGAGAATATGCTTTGAGGCGCGATAGGTAATAAAAAAATGGATACACCAATAATACAAAATCAGCTGTATTGTATGAGTATTGGTGTCGGATACACATATGAGACTGATACATGTCCAGTTTTGGGGTATCTATGCATTATAGCTGTTGAGGTTCATAAATTTTGCTGATGTCTTGAACTTCTAAAGATGCAAATGGAAAGTTACTTGGCTTTTTGAAACACTTGCTCCTTTGTAGCTAATTAAAAGGATAATAACCTTTATTCTACTTCTGTTTTCTCCTTTTCCCTTTTTTTTGTGGGGTGTGTGTGTGTGTGTGTTGGGGGCGGGGGGGCATTGACCAGTGGACAGGCAGGTAAACCTATATGTTAAATGCAATTCATATATCTTATCACTTTCAGACGGTGACTGTTACGTACTGTCATATTTTGAATTTTTTCTGATGTCTTTGAACTTCCAAAGGTGCAATTGTAAAATGGGTGTGTCATGGATGGTAACGTTTACAAATGAATTATGTGCTTACCATTTATCAAACAAATGAATAAGCTTCTACTTCATGACCATTTTCACTTTGGTAATAATGAAGTTATAAGTTATAATGTTTAAAATCAACTTTTTACATGCATCTTTAAAGAAATGGAATATATATATATATATATATATTTGGAGATATTTCAATCGGTTCATCACTTCGCAACTAGTTCGACTCGGGACGGGTTTCGGGATTAAGACTTTAAACACATCGCAAAAATGGTACTGGGAAATATTTTAGGGTGGACTTCTTTTACTATATGATATAATTCAAATAAAAAAATGTAAAAGCACTAACCTTTTCTAATGAATGTACTCTTATGGATATGGTGATTGATTTTTCTATAAATGACCGTTCAGCAAATCTCTAATAGTAAATTGATAATGACATTGCTTCCTGTGTTTCTTTTGTAGGTTAAAATGATAATGGCAACAAACCGACCTGATGTACTTGACCCTGCTCTCCTACGTCCTGGGAGATTGGATAGAAAAATAGAAATTCCATTGCCGAATGAACAGTCAAGGATGGAAATTCTTAAGATTCATGCCGCCGGAATAGCTAAGCATGGTGAAATAGATTATGAAGCTGTTGTGAAGCTTGCAGAGGTGAGTCCAGATGGTTTGGGTTAATTTTACTAACAATGGGTGCATATCTGATGTATTATCTGTTGCAAATTGCCCAGGGATTTAATGGGGCCGATCTTAGAAATGTCTGCACAGAAGCTGGAATGTCAGCAATTCGTGCTGAGCGTGATTATGTGATCCACGACGATTTTATGAAGGTGAGCTCTTTGTTTAGGAAGCAATTTTTTTTCCCTTTATTAATCATCACTCAGGTCTACTTCTCCTTGTCACTTACAGGGACAATAATTTGATTTCTTATTTTGGTTTCAGGCTGTTAGGAAACTGAATGAGGCAAAGAAACTTGAATCCAGTGCACACTACAATGCTGATTTTGGAAAAGAATAGAATCTATTGCAAAATTCTTTTGAGAGCCATGGATATTTAGGCAGTGCATCTTTGGGCTATCACTTGTACTATCCGAATTGTAAAATTGGGGGGATAACTTCTTAAACGGTAAAAGGATGTTCTATTGAATGCTTGCCCCAACTCAATTGTATTAAAGTTTTTTTTTTTTTTTTTTTTATAGAACCATCGGCTCACATATTTATTGTATTGTGTTGGTTGCTAGGTGTTTTATTTATATTTAATAAAACGGAAAAGGTTTAGGTTTAAAAAAAGTGTTTTTATAAAACCTGTTATAGATCTATAAATAAGTTTATTATTTAATATTATCATATTATAGGGTTGGTTATATTTATTATCTTTTTTATTTTTTATTACTTATTATTACCAATCTTATTATCGTTGAATTAAAATTAAATCAGTTGATTATAAAATAATATTAAGTAAGTCAATTTATTTGATTATGATTCAAAGATAACAAGATTGACGGTAAGAGGTGATAAGAAAAATTTGTGGTAATTATAACTTATTCTTATATTATATATATTTTAAATAAAAAATTACTTAAAATTTTTAAACAATAAAATAGTGTTTGTTCAGTTACTTTTTTAAAAAAATTATACGCGTATAATAGGTTCAGTTATTAAAGCAAGTTTTTTTGCGTCCGTGTCAATTGAGAGGGGAAATGGTAAAATTAATTTGGGTCTTGATTTTTCTTGAATTTAAAAAATAGAAGTGAAAAGCCATTAGATTTGTTCTAGTGGCGAGAAATTTGGATAGGCGTATCATTAGATTATGTGTTGAATTCTTATCGGTATTGATTATAAAAAAAATAGATGCCAAAATTTTTCTATGAGAAATTGATTTTTGATTTGAGGAACCGAAATTGGAGAAATTATAATACACTACGACAGTATCATTATGGCCGGTTTTGTAACTATTTTTTTTCCTCATATCTTATTTGTGTTAAGTGTTTGTCATTTAACCCCCAAGGGTAGCTCAGTTGGCAGCTGAGCTCCCAAGGGATTGCTTGGTGCAGGGATCAAACTCTGCTTCAAGCAGTTTCTTGGAAAATCTTTGGGGGCCAGAGGATAAGTCAAAAAATCTTCGGTTGGGGGATTAGTCTCGTCCTTTCTCCGCTTGCGAAGCTTAGTGCACCCACTGTTACAATGAGGGGCTAGCCCAAACGGGATACCTCCTGGCAATGTACCAAAAAAAAAAAAAGTGTTTGTCATTTTAAATGATATAAATTTGTATCATTTTCCATATTTTATTATCTTGTTTTAAGATTACTTAATGAGAAAAACTTCTGGTATATAAACTTTGAGAAATATGAATATAATGTTGTAGTATGCAACATAGGTCCTCTTGTAGACTCAAAAAAATATGGGGCCCATGTTATTTAGGGGAGAGAAATTTTTTTGAAGTAAGTCCCACATTTTTTTGAGTCTACAATATTACCTATATTGCATGCTAGAACATTATATTCACATTTCCCATAAACTTTATTGGCAATATATATATATATTATTTTTATCTTTATCTTTATCTTTATCTTAGTGGGTGCGTAGGCTGTGAGTTTGCCAAACGTAATATGAACCATGAACCACATCAACATGGTGGGAATTTCTAGTGACAAGTCAAAATAAATCTAAAATTATTAGTAAAGCTAGACAACATAGAAAATATTAAATTCTAAACTGGTGGTGTAATTAGAGAGCAGTTGCATCTAACAGCTATGACTAGGGGAACTCAATCTTTACGGTATCTTGCCCAGAAGCTTTTCTTCCTGGCAGAATCATTATCCGACAGGGATCGGTTCCACTTGGATCCCAGTGAAAAATGCCTCCTCAAGAACGGTTTCGGCTTTCCAAATGAACTCCTTGCACTGGAGCTAGGCTCCATCTTTGAAACTATATCTTTTTGGCGATCAAAAACATCTAACCCACCATCAATGTAGCTATCAACTACTCGGTTTTTGGATATCCTGTGGTTCTTGGATTTCATCTCTGATTCGGCCCTAATACCTTTTTTGGACAACTTCGACAAGTGCTTCTCCCCAACCATACAAATTGGACAAGCTGGATCATAACTATCAGCTTCTGGTGTCATAGTCTCCAAGCATTCTGCATGATACACATGACCACAGACAAGTACAGCAACAACTGAGAGGTTACTGCTGCCAATAAATTTCTGGTTGCCCCATGCAGATCTCTCATTCAAGAGCCTGGAGCAAGCCCCACAAGATTGTAAATCCATGGAGGGGGAATACGAGAACCTGCTACTAGTTCCACTTATCTTGAGACGACCTGAACCTAAGTACTCACTGTCAAAAGACCACCGTTCCTTTTGAGAAGAGGCCACCAGCTCAGAAAAGGTGCGCATAGACCAGCCATCAGATGACCCACACTGGGATCCAGTTGCCATGTCATTGCTGCATGTAGAGAGTACAAATGATGGCCTTCCCTCAGAAATTGAGTTGTCAGGTGATTTCAGACCCAGGATTTGACTATCAGAAATTTGTCTCAACAGTGGGTGTCCTGGAGATCGATGAGCCCATCTTGATGCCATTGAATTAGGAAGATTGTGATAATTATGATTAGGAATGGGATCTGTTGTAGGGGTTGAGTAAACTGAAGGTATTGAAAATAAAAGATTTGGTATTGAAGATTCTGCAATTTCTGGTGATTCTACAAGATTCTTCACCTAAAGACAAACATATAGATTAAAGAGTGAGGCTGGTGCTACAATAAAAGGCTTATAAATCAGATATTGAGCAAATCATCTTTACAAAATTCAGCAGTTCAAACTCACCATTGTAGAACAATTACTTGACATGGATAGATCTGCGACAAGCACATAGAGGACGAAGAAAAAAAATCAATGCCCAGACAAAAAAACACAGTAACCATGGAACCATAGTGCATAAAAGAGAGCATAATCGTACGAATGTCCAGAAACAACATATGTAACCATTCAAAACAGCAAACCAAATTAGAAAACCTCAAAACCCGATGGGAAACAAACAGCAGAAGAAAGGCGAAGAACAAGGCAATACATTACTTAAAGAATAATCATTTGAAAGATAAAGATCCCTTGCATTCAAAATAAGATTATAAAAAAATGAAAAATCTAGACATGAGCTAAAGATAGGAAAAGCAGGTTTTTTCATTTTTCAAAAGAAAACAAATCTAGAACAAGCAATGCTTGATAATGGAGCTTTTAAGCCCCTTTGTTGGATTTTCAGTGGGCAGCCCCACCATAAAAAATGAAGAACAAGAGCCCTGTTGATGTTCAAGCCACCCTTAAATTAATCCTTGCCTCAACCCCTACTCACTAAGAGAGCAAAGTCTCAATAACCAGCCTGAAAAGGCCAGAGAAACCTCTAGACACTATCATGAATCCTTATTAATAAGTAAAGGTACAATAGAACAAAAGCCCAATATTGGATTCAGGCAGAAAGCCTAACCAAAATTTCCCCCAATCCCGCAGTTGGAAAGACAAAATTGAGCTTAGTAATTTAAAAAATGATTGCCAAAAGAATTAATCCAGCATTAAAACTACTTTCAAACAATGGGATAGTCTAAAAAGATCACTGTCATACGCTAATGCCTCTAGTACATTCAATAAAAGAATGACAGAGTTAACATTTACCTGAAGAAGGAGTCATCTGATTTACAACCAACTGATCATGAACAGGGGACTTCTGAGACATAGGTGTTACAGAAATCTCCAGGGTGCTCCCACCATCAGATAAATTACCTCTTTCAGAACTCAAAGACCCTTTTAACTCCATGCTAACATTTCTGCTGACTCTGTGAGATGTGTTGAAGGAAGGATTCTCGATTTCACCAGTAACACGGCCCCAACTATCCCATCGAAAGCTCCAAGATGGTGAACATGCAACATTTCTATGTAAACTTTCACCTCCAGTTCTGTTGGGAAGAGTGTGATCCTTTGCAGCAACACAACAAGCTGATCCCATGATAACTGCTGACATACACAACAATCAATCTAACTAGCAGATACAAAGACTAATTACTAAGTACTGTATAGTTAAGTTAAAAAAACAGCTAATGAAAAAAACACATCCAATTATATACCAGGGACGTTACAGTAGATAACTCAAAAACCACCTCAAATTTCCAACGAGAATATGTACTCCTACCTCCTTCTGAAGAAAAAATAAAAAGAAAAGTTAATTCAATTGATGTTGCTGGTAAGGTACTTTAAAACCAATCCACAGGCCAAAGCTCTAAATAAAGCACACACTAATCGTCTCATTTCTGATGCAAACGAATAAATTAATTCAGTGAGGAATGAACATGACATCATAATATTCAATTGTTAAAAAAGCACTTCTATTACACAAGTGAAGGGAGGGTTAACTTTACAGAATTCACTCATTAACGTTTGGGCTAACTAACTGAGAATTCTATATCCATACGGAGTGTTATAAAAAGCACAAGTCCCAAACCAAAACTTGCATCCCACTCGACCCCTCGTACGAAAATCTCTAATGCACAAAACAGTGTGTGGTAAAATAATGACAGCCATGGAAAATGTTCCTAGACAGACACGAAAACTTTCTAATTGCCACCAATCATGGAAAAAGATATTGCAAAAGATATTAGCAACAACAACAGTTAAGAGCCTAACTCGGCCACTTCAAAAGGAATTTCAATATTTACACTCGCTAAGTTGAAAGCGCAGCACAGAAATGCACTCTAGACCCAATACTGAGAATTGCTCGGTTCTGTCTTATCAAAAACCCATGAAACACTCAAAAAGTAGAAAATGAAAATAAAAAAATTTATTAATAAAACCGTCCAAAAAAAAATTTAAGGAAAAAAAAAAACAGAAAGGATTGCAAATTTTGTCTACCATGACCCGAATCCCGTGTTCTCGTAACACAACCAATGAGAAATGATCCAGCAATGCACAAAATGAGGCAGTATTTTTGGCAATAGGTTAGAATAAACAAAATAAGTTAGGGTTTTGAAGCATTCTGAAGACCTATTCATTAACACATAAATGCTAAAAATAGAGAGAGAGAAGATTGAGGATGAGGCATGGAGGAATGTTACCTCTTCAATTCAAAACAGAGAGTTTCAGAGAAAAAAGGGGAAATCATTTCGAAGTCGTCATTTTCGGCTTCGGCTTCGTCTTCATAGTGGTCATGCGCAGTGTACGCTGCTTTTTGTAACGCCGTCTCTGTTTAAGGCTTCGGACTTTAGCTTCGACTGTTATCACGGAGTTATGTCACAGACAGTGGGAAAGGGAACGCTGAATAACATGTTTTCTTCCCCGCTTTATTTTTTTTGTCTCTTTCCTTCCCACCTTTTTTCCCTCTTCTTCTGCGTGCATTTATGTTTGTTTTTTTAAATAAAAAAGAAAAAAGGAAAATGCAGTTTTAACTTTTAACTTTTAATAAGGTCAATAATAATAACTCTGACCATGAGAAAACCATTGGCTCAATGGTCTAAATCCAAACTTAAATTACGACTAGCAGGATACATGTTATTTTGACCAAACAAAGATTTTCACCTCTTTAATTTTCTTATTTAGTATTTGTTTCTCGGTATTTATTAATAGGAGTCTTTAGTGTCATAAAAAATCTTAACTAGACTAAGTGCCATGACCCTCTCCCTCTCTACGACACTTACATAATTTTTTTTTAGTGAATGTGGACCCCCTTTCGGCACTCACACAATTATGCAAGTCGCACAATCTCATTAACGTAGACAGTCCTGTTATTGTAAAATTTTAAAAGTTCATAACTCTTGACTTGAGAATCCAAATTAAATATATTTTTTATTTCGCATGACTTTTCGAGATATATGCAATAACATCTCATTTGGTATATTTTATCTCTCATAAATATAGTCCGAATTTGTAACAATGGTACCACAATCACAATAAATGTACTACAAAGAAAAAGTGGGAGCAAAAATGAAGAACCCACAGAGCAGGGATAGATGATAACATGTTGGACAAATTTTAACTATTGTCTCGCACAAAACTGATTTGAAAGTCAAGGAAGCTAAACAAACCAAGGGTTTCTACCTCTTCATGCCAGCAGGGAAAGAAGGAACACAGCAGGGATAGACGAGCATGGCCAGCATGTTATCCTATCCCTGCTCTGTTCCTTCTTTCCCTACTGTTGGGGTTCTCCATTTTTTCTCCCACTTTTTCTTTGTTTTATTTTCTTCACAAAAATAAATTTTGAAATTAACTATTGTCAACTACAACTCTAACAGAAAAAAAATTCAATGAATTAAAATCTCAACCCTAAACCCTATATATATATGAGGTTCAATTTTTCTACAGCCGTTTTACGTGAAACAGTGACAAATTTTCCATATACATAGGTTAAAACATTTAATGTGGGGAATCATATAATCATACATATGTTATTGCTACATGTACAACAACTTTAGATACGATTTTACCTTATATATATATGTGTGTGTGTGTGGTAAAATCATTTCTGCAGTCGCTTTACGTACAACAACGACATGTGTATGGTTATGATTCCCCACATTTAATGCTTCCATCTTTTGTATGGTTATGATTCCCCGTATTTAATGCTTTCAAATATATATATATATGACAAGTATTTGATTGTTGCACGTACAACAGCTGCAAAAATGTAAACCATATATATATATATATATATATATATATATATATATGGTTCGCTTTTTCTGCAGTTAATGCAGATAAGTTATCAGCAGTAAGCCTAATACGACGTCATTTTGGGGCAAAAATCATGGTGTTTTGTATTTTTAATTTATTTCAGGGTTATTATAGTCTTTATAATTATAATTATTTAATTTTTCAATCCCAAAACGACGTCGTTTTGGAAGTAAATGCAGATAACTTATCTGCAATAATTGCAGAAATATTTTTCCCATATATATATATATATGGGTAAAGGATTTCTCCAGTCAATGGAAATAAGTTATCTCCGGTGAGCCCAAAACGACTTCATTTCGGGACAGAAATCAAGATATTTTTGTAATTATAATTTATTACAGGGTTATATTAGTCTTTATCATTATAATTTTTTAATTTTATAACTCTAAAACGACGTCGTTTTGAGTTCACCGGAGATAATTTTATCTTTAGTAACTGGAGAAATATTTTTCCATATATATATATATATTCATCAAACTCATCAAAATACTTCAAATACAAATTTAAAATATGTTTGTGACTGTGGTACCATTTTTACAAATTTGAACTATGTTTGTAAAAGATAAAATATGTCAAATGAGGTGTCATTGTGTAGATCTCAAAAAGTTATGTGAAATAAAAAGTATATATCTTATTTGGATATCTGATTCAAAAGTTATGGCATTCTAAAATTTTATTGTAACGAGATTGTGCCACTTGGCACAATCGTGTGAGTGCCCGAGGGTGGTCGTGACACTCAATGCCGTTGGAATTCCCCCACAATACTAAAAGACTCCCATTAATAAATACCGAGAATCAAATATCACATAAGAAAATTAAAAGGATAAAAAAAAACCTTTTGGTCAAAGAGCCACTCTAAGTTAGTACAAGCAAGTACTTGATATTTCACGCATGCGTTTAAGGGTTTATTGTATCACTAGTCAATAGAAATAACTTATTTCCAGTGAATTCAAAACGAAGTTGTTTTTAGGAGTTGAAAAAAAAGTATATTTGTAATTCTAATTTATACCAGATTATATTAGTCTTTATAAGGAGTATGAGTACTGTAATAAACTTTAATTTTGGTATATTAATCTAGATAAACCAAATACTCTTAGCACAGATGGTAAGGAGTCCGGGTCCTTTAACTAAAGGTCTCGAGTTCGAATATTGGGAATAAAAAAGAGAATTTAGGAAAACTACCACCCTTAATAGGGTTCCACAAGCGCTCGAACCGGATGTAGTCCGAATGATGAATCGGTTGAGAAACAAAAAAAAAAATGTTCCAAAACATTAAAATATTTTGTATCTAAGGAAAAACATAAAATCTTGCCTTACTACCATCTTTACATGGCATTTTTACCTGTTTTATTGAGAAGTATTTTTAGTTACATTTTAACACGTATAACTTCGATAAAGACGTATGTGTCTATGCTTTTAGTTGATTTTTGACAACAATGCGTTATGATTAACATTTTTTTAAGTTAAAAAATGTACAAGTTTATTAGTGGGGCGTGACGTAACGTGACGTAACGTGACGGTATTTTTTCCTTTTTTTTATATGCAAATTATGTTATTGCAAGCAGCAGTCACTTTGCAATATTTTGGCGAAATACATGGGCTTTTTGACCACTATAACTCTTATTTAATAATTAATTACCAAATTGATCTTCATTTTAAACTATTTCAAAAATTTAACCTCCTCAAAAAACATAACACTAATCTGCCCCTGTTTGACCGTTGACCAACAGGCCTACCCGGGTACACCCCTCCCTACCCGGGTATTTTTTGAAATTTTGTGCCTACCCGGGTAGGAAGGGGTGTACCCGGGTATAGTTCTTGGGATCTTGAAAATTGCTTGAATTATTTACCCGGGTACGGAGTGGTGTACCCGGGTAAGTCTCAATAATACAACAGGATCCCAAGAAACACTAGAACTAAACCAACTGTTGTTCTCACATTGCACAAATTGTTGCTGTTCCAATGTCCAAAAGCCTTCCGTTTCTCCACCAACTAGAGGTAATTGCATGTTCCCCATATTCATTTGGCCATTCCTGTTGCTATTTGATGGACCCTCATCTGCATATATCATATCAGTAGACCATGTCATAGGAGGGGTTTGACAAAGTTGATTAGAGTTGACTCCAACACTGCTTGTAATTATTAAAGCACCTTCATGATCATGAATATTCGGGATAAGAACACTCTTAGCAGAAGTGTTTGATGAAGTAGTAACCATTAAACCAGGGACAATGCTGTTGTTGGCAGTAACATTCATGGGAGAGAAAGCAGTAGCTGATGATGATAACTCTTTCTTCCCAGAGCAGTTTTAAGTTGATCTAGAAAACATACCAGATTGAACCACACAATTAGAACGAGATTGAATTGGAAACCTTCCTTCCTTCAGTTTAGCCTTGAGTGCACCAAGAAGGCCATCAGAATCTGTCCCTGGCTCATTCACATCCTCAAAAGAAAAGGGTTCAATGTTATCAGGAATGAAATTGGAACCACCACCACGCTTATTTGTAGCACCAGAGGTTGCAGACTCTCGCAATTCAAAGTTGGTCCTAGCATTAGCACCACGCAAAGCTCGAGCAGCAGTGTCATATGCACGAGCTGCATCCTCAGCAGTGTCAAATGTACTCTTATTGAGAACTACCCGGGTACACCCCTCTGTACCCGGGTAAATAATTCAAACAATTTTCAAGATCCCAAGAACTATATTAGGGTCCCTGCCTACCCGGGTAGGCACAAAATTTCAAAAAATACCCGGGTAGGGAGGGGTGTACCCCGGTAGGTCTGTTGGTCAACGGTCAAACAGTAACAGATTGGTGTTATGTTTTTTGAGGGGGTTAAATTTTTGAAATAATTTATAATAAAGGTCAATTTAGTAATTAAATTTTAATAAAAAGTTATAAGGGTCAAAAAGTCAAATACATGTCATAGCTAAAGTCTCACTATTGGGTCCTCTTGTTAGGCCCAACAGCACAAATTCGATTGCGTCCGATCAATTTGCTGCATTATGTGGCAAAATCGTGATTTTACCTTCAACCAAACAATATATAATGAACACCATAATGTCTCACTATTAATTTACTCTAACATAACAAATTTTTTTTTGTTGGTAAACATTAACATCACAATTAATTCACTCTTAATGCGTTTTTTCTCCATTTCAAGATAAAATAAAATATTATTATGCACTGTATTTTAATCAAATAATTATTTTAAATGCATTATTTTTACACAACGTCATATGAACTAAGTGAGGGAGACATTATTCATGTAACCCGCAAAGCGAATTTTATTTCAGGCTAAAAAATCATTTGTTTAATTTTCTTTTTCTAAAAAACATTAAAAAAATAACAATTTAATTAATTATATTACATATGACACGCAGAGCAAATTTTTTTAGATGATGTCATATGTAATATAATTAGTTAAATTGTTATTTTTTTTTATATTTTTTATTTTGTTAGTTTAAAATAATAATAATTAATTTAGATGATGTCATATGTAACATAATTAATTAAATTGTTATTTTTTTTTTGTATTTTTTAGGCTGTTAGTTTTTTTTTTTTTTTTTTTAATTTAGCTCAAACCCTAAGAGTTTTAACTTTTGTTTCTTTATTTTAAATTTTTAAGCATATTTTTGCATCTAATGGTAATAAGTAGCAAAATCTCAAAGAGACTAAACATTCGAGCGCTGCCTACTATGTTTAAGGATTTATCTTTAAGCTGAATAAAGTGTTTTTGAGAAGTGCGATTTTTCAATCAAATCACACTAGGTCAGAAATTATACATATGCATTTTATAAATCTAATTGATATGTACAGTTATCACATGAAGAGGTTACACATACACATATCCATAACAAGTACCATTTTTTACATTAAGCAAGCACTCCATACAATACATTAATAACATATACAAGCAGAGGTTACACATACACCGAATTCTTCTTTTTCTTTTTTTTTTTTGCCATAAAAAAGAAAAGAACCCTCTTTTTTACATAACATTGAGTCATTGACACCCATGGGACCAGGTCACTACGTCATTTTCATTAAGCACTTCACAGTTCTGTTTATCTATCTCCCACTAAATATTGCCTCACCCTAGGTACTGTACTGTACTAATACATACAAATTTACTCACTCATTGATTCCACCACGTAGCAATTCCCTTACAAACAAGCATGGACAAACACTTATTATTATTATTATTATTATTATTATTTTATTTGTCATATTGAAGAAGGCCTGAGAGAATTCACCACTGAAAAAAGCCTGCAGAAGCCGTAATGGGTTCATTAAGAGAAAGCATATTGAAGAAATTTTGTGCACTTGATTGGTAGCAATCCCTTTCATAGGAGCTAGTGGTTGCGTTGATGAGGTTGATGATATCATTAAGTGATTCAAGTCTTTGGCTAAGCTCCGTCATCTGGGCCCTCAAAATGGAATTCTCTGCCTCAACATTCAGATATTGCTGTGTTGTGACCTTTATGCTCGTGATGATTTCACTCTTGTCCTTTGTGAGCCGAGACACCTCCCTCATCATATCATCTAAATGATTCTGTTTTCTCATCCGAGATCTTCTTGCTGATTCCCGATTCGATTGCTTCCTCTTGTTTTTTCTTTGATCCATCATGAGCTGCAAATCCTCTTCAGACCCAGAGCTCTGAATTTTGGTGCACATAGAGGAGTTTCCACTGGATGAGGCCATGAAATATTACACCACAAGTCCCAAGACCAAAGACACTTAGTAAGTTACTTGTCTTGTGGTCTTCTGGGAGATTATTTAACTTCCAAAACAAAGATTAAAAATAGCTTGACAAAATTTTAATCAAGACGCAGGACCCAGAAACACTAACAAAAAAACACCGGATTGAGCTAAATTATTACTAAGTTATATAATCATATATAATACTAAACTGCAGAACAATGAAAAAACATAGAACCAGTAGAGGAACACAACAGAGAATGATTGAACCAAGTGGGTCCTGCGCCTGAAGGAGGAATTTATCATAAACCCGGAACGAAGGATTTCACAGAGAACGGGAGACATGAAGGTCAAACATTAACATAGAGAGATATTATCATCAGCATCAAGATTCAAAGAAAGAAACTTTTTTTTTTTAAAAATATGCCTTTGATTCCTGCAAAGAAATCCACCAATATTCAATAGATTACCAAATGGGTTTTGGGTCAAAATTAAGAACTAACCACTCCCACCAAAGAAAAACAAAGCCTAAGCTTCAGGGAGAGGGTAGAAGAGGAAATCTAGAGGAACAAAAGGGGTTGAACAGAAGAGAGGAGAAGGGGAAGGGGAAGAAGAATAGGTAATTGGAGGACCAATTTATAAAACAGGTTAACGAGGACAGACAGACAGTGAAAGAAAATATATACTAAACAAAGGAAAAAATAAAGTAAATTAAGAATAGAAAATGGGGGGAAAAAGCAAAAAGCAAAAAGCATCGGAATCTCCTCGAAGAATAGAAGAACAGGAACGAAGATAGAAACGATTGGCAATGTGAGGTCGAGACGAATTTAATTGTAAATAAATAAAGGAAAAAATTGTTTATAATTTTAAAGGATTTTATAAGAGTTATAGTACGAAAAGTGATTGTGTAATGTTATAGAGATTCGTTTTGCGTGCCTTAGTTTTTTTTTTTTTGCTTTAAAAAGTGCGGGCCCCACAAAATGTTGTGTATGTAAGAAATTTTTTGTGTCATGTGACATGATAGATACAAATCCCAATTTTAAATGATATAATTTTGTGTTATTTTTAATAAAATTATATTTTTTTGGTGTGTTTTTGCGTTTTTTTTTTCTAATTTTATAAAAAAAATAAATGTAAAAAATACCTAAAACACACCAAAATAACATAGGTTCATTAAAAATGACACAAAATTATGTCACAATCATTTAACCTATAAATAAAAGGAAAAAAGTTTGTCCATTTAAAAGATATAATGGTTGTGTTATTTTAAATTTTAATTATTAATTTTTGTCAATTAACGGTTATAATTTATTGAGTCAAACTTATTATTAATTAATTTGACATAATAAATTATAATCGTTGATTGACAAAAATCAACTGTTATAATCTAAAATGACACAACATTATATCCTTTAAGGATAAATATTTTTTCAATAAATAAATTACAATACAAGAAAAATGATTTTTTAAAGATAATTTTGTATTATATTAAATGAAATGACTGTATTTTAATATATATTTCATGATTTTTTATATTTTTTCTTCCATTAGACGAGAAGAAGAGAAAAAGAGAAAATATTGTAAATGAGAGAACATAAAAAGTAATCAAAGTATAATCGATTAACTTAAAATGACTTAAATTTGTATCTTAATATGACAGTACATTTTAAATTTTATTCTCCTCTCTTTCATCCTGACGTTAAGTGGAGGTGTTTTTCTGCAAAATAGTGTGTTTGAGCATGGTTTTTTTAGAGGTTCTTTTAGACATTTGGATTATTTTTATTTTATTTTGTGATTTTATTTTAATTTATCAAAATAATAAATTGTAAACAATTGTCAAAATTTAGAGCCCGTTTGAATCTATTTTTTTTTAATGTTTCATGAAATCATTTTATTGAACAAAATTATTATAAAACTTGTTTGATGAGTTTTTAAAAAAAATGAAATTTTATAAGTTCGATGATATTTTTGTAGCATGGTGACAGGGGGCGATAGTGGTAATTCCGACAACGACGGCAATCACAATTTCAAAGGTGGCGATGATGGCTTTGGTAATGGTGGCAGCGTCAATATTGGTGTTACTTTGAATTTGAGTAAAACACACCTATGAAAATAAAAACAATTAAATTGTGTTCTATTTAAAAAAAAATCAATTATAAAAAAACGAATTTTCAAAACAATCAAATAAAAGAATAATTAATTAAACAAATTTTACTTTTCGTTTTAAATCTCGAAAACCAAGAGAAAAGTGTTTGTCATTTTAAATGACAGAAAGTTATATCATTTTAAGAGAGATACTGACACAAAAAATTTGAATTTTAAATTAAAAAAATCACTCATTTTCTCTCTCCCATAATTTCTATTTTTCTGTGTCTATCTCTCTCTCTTAAAATGACATAACTTATGTCATTTAAAATAACAAATACCAAATCCATTAATCAAAGTCTTATTTTTTAAATGTAGAGGTCAATTTTTTAACATTTTTTTATAAATTATTTTAAATAAAGTCATCTCCGACTTAAGATAATTTATGGCTTATAGTCACACTCAAAAGTCATTATAATAATTTTAATAAGTTGTGACTCGTGAATATAATTATAGGCATATAATATTTTAAAAATTTGCTTAGATGGTAACATATAACCACGCCTTTAGCCATATTATATTAAAAACACATATTATTTAAGTCATATATAACATAAGAACAACAATTTGTTACAAAAAAATTTGCTAACAAAATCTATACTTGAAAGTGATTATATACAATTTGTATCATTTGAAGAAAAAAAATTAAAATTATACTAAATTAATAATAATAAAAAAAAACTACAGTAGACGGGTAAAAAAGTCACTTTAAGAATTAAAAAAAAAATCTAAATTTCCCACCTAAATTGGTAAATAATAAATTGATGTAAGAATGGAGGTGGTATAGAGTCTATAGACAAGTCATAAAAATTAAAAAAGCTAATTTGGTCATCCTTCGTCACACGAGAAGAGGGTTGGTGACTTAGTTGAACAATTTTCAAATTAAGAGAACTACAGCCTAGCATAGTAGCATGTGACGTGAGTTCAACCTAAAGTTCATTTAATTAGTTATTCAATTTGTAAATAGTTTCCTTTCTCAGAATTAAATGTTTTTATTAAAAAAAATTATTTGCTTTGATTTCGTTGGTGGCGAAAACTCGAATGCAAGAAATCCAACACCAAAACTGAAACGCCGCGAAGATGAGGTTTTTTTTTTTTTTTTTTTTCTGGTGATCTAATGTATTCACTGGCGGATCCAAGTTGGGGCAAATGTCCGCCAATGTGGACATAAAAATTTTGGATTTAGTTTTTTTTTTGGTTGCATGTACTTATTTTTTTCTTGATTTAATATTTATATTAGGAGTAAATGTCTTTTTAAATCCCTAACAAAAAATATGATCTCCATTTTAGTCTTTTACAAAAAAATTAGTCTTGAAGTCCTTAAAAAATTCAAAGTGAATCAATTTAGGTTAAATCATGGTCCCTCACAAATTTAAAAAAAAAACTTACATTAGTTCCTCATAAAGATTAAAATGGGTCTACTTTGAATTTCATAGGGACCAGGTGACTAATGTTTTATTTATAATGGACTAAAGTGGGACCAAATTTTTTGTTAGGGACCAAAAAAGATATTTATTCTTATATTAGTTAGCAACGTACGGAGATGATTAAAACAAAGTAGCAACGCAAATTGATTAGAGAGAAAATTTATTATTCCTCCCCTGTCACGTACCCATTCACATGCTCTCGTCATCCTTTGTTTACTTTTTCATTTTTATAAAAAAAGAGGATTGATTGCAAGTCCGACATTCTCAAAGAAATTAATATCTAGAGACGAGGTCTTCACTGTGATTTTGCTTGCCTTCTGTACATGTAGTGTTAACTTTTTTATTTACCACTATAAAATAGAATGATGATATATGGATGTATTGGAGTATATTCTCATATTTGTTTTGGAGGATTGATAAGATTTAGAGGGCAAATGATTAGTCAAACTATTGCCTGCAGCTTGTTAAGGAAGTAACTAGATTATGAACGGGTTCAAGCGTTAATTTAAACTTTCTTTACAAAAAAACAATTCTGGGGAGCGTTGCCCCCGAACTCCGCAACTAAATATGCAGACATAAAAAAAAAAAATCTGGACCCACCACTGAATGTATTACTAGTACTACAAAAAAGAGAGAGTCGGATATTAGAAGATGATTATGAATTTAAAAAAATCTAATCATTATCCACTTTTTAATGTAAAATTCTTTTAAGTCATTATTCTTTGGTTAAGAAATTTTAAACTTAAAAAAAATACATTAATTTAAAAAGAAACACTTAAAAAAATAAATTTAAAAAGATATCCGTAGTTAATTTTAAAAAGTTAATAGTAATACATGTCATTATTTTAAAAAATATATGTTAGTTTAATATATTGTTTTTTTTTTAGTAGACTAATATATGGGTTAGATTAGGTGTAAGTTACTTCTCTTGTATTATATAGTTAAATACGTGTTGTTTAGTTAATTATGTATATTATTATTTGATCTTATTATACGAATAATTATCGGTGTATGAATAGTGAAAACAACAATAAATCATATAATTAATGCGCCACAATTTCCATAGTATGTAAAGATACACGATGAGAGTAAGCAACTTGCATTGAATATACCTAAGAATATCTTAATTATGCCCATGTCCATCATAGTAAGTTGCCATTGTGGCTGTCCCGTATCAACATGACGCCAACTAGACACGAAACACGTCACTTAACATGCTTCTAAAAATACATCACAAACCTTTAAGGATTGGGCCCCAAGGCCCAAAGAAAAATAAAAAACGAACAACAAGGACAGATTCCTGAGGGTAAACACACTTTGCGTAATAAATGAAAGAAAATTATTTTCGTGATGTCATATAGAGAAATATGTGAAGATAAAATTAAAGGGACCAATGACATAAGATAAGATATTTTCAACAATATAAAATTAACAAATTCCTTCTGGCATTTATGTACTTTAAAGTAGTTATATACTAATATCCGAACGAACCACTCCCACGGGATTTTTTTTTGTTATTTGGAGAATACTTAACTCAGTATACCTTTTTTTTAAAATGATCTTTTTATCTTATTTGAATCTCTATCTTTATTTTTATTTTTTTTATATGTCCTAAATTTTTATCTCTTTAGGAAAAGTATGTAGGTTCTCCGTACTCATGGACTACTGAAAAAACTTTCCAATCCCAAGTAATAGACGTCCTTTACTATGTTTGTTTCCACAAAATTGTTCAACATTGGATATTTGGATTGTTGGTTATAAAATTTTATTGACTCCATATTTAACTCTCTCTTTTAACGATTTTGGATTTTTTAATAGATTCTCAAATTAAAACCATAGAGGTCGTACAATAGATATACATTTTTATTAATAAAGATGACTGTTGCGTCATAAATTGAAATAGCAACCTTGCTTTTTGTAGTGATTTGTGAGTGATGGTTTCGCATGCTAAAAGTAAAGAGCAAATTTGGGGATTCAAATGTCACGAATGACCTCATTAGTAGATCTGTCATTTTATTGAATTATATTATAATGAACCGTATCCTCTTTGCCTGTTTTTATGTACATCTTTTAAAACTATTAATTAGGCTTTAGATTATGTAT